ATCCACTCCAGCCAAATCCCTGAACCCAAATGTAGCAAACGACATTTGGAAAAAAAACACTTAACAGCACGTTTTCCAGTTTATGCTGGATTGTGAAGACTGGACATGCAGCAGCTACATAATTAAAAGCACTAAATTTGGGAATAAAAAAATGTCAGTTACAGGTTTTTCGACATACCCTGAAGTTTGTCAGAGGTTGATTTGCTAAAACTGTACAATAAGGGCAAGTCAGTTGTCCTGCAGAATACAAAATTGAATATTATGGAATAGCTGCCCTTCCCTGATGCATTGGATTCCTTATATGTGGTTGTTTGTCTCCTCTGGCCCATGGTTTGTCCTCTCCCCTCCTCTCTTTCTGACTACAGCTTAGAGAATCTCTATCAATGGATTCTCCTCTAAAACAAGTCTCCATCTGATTTACGTGCATCTCCGCACCAATTGGCTTTCCCCCATTACTTAGTTTAAAAACTGCTCTACGGCCTTTTTAATGTTTAGTGCCAGCAGTCTCGTTCCGCCCTGGTTTAGGTGGAGCCCATCCTTCCAACCCCCTCTCCCCTCCCCCATCGTCTCATCCATGCATTGAGACTCTGAAGCTCTGCCTGCCTATCCGCCCCTGCGCATGAAGCTGGAAGCATTTCTGAGAATGCTACCATAGAGGTCCTGGAGTTCAGTCTCTTTCCTAACAACCTAAATTTGGCCTTCAGGACATCTCTCCTATCCTTCCCTACGTCATTGGTACCTGCATGTATCACGACCACCGGCTCCTCCCCAGCACTACACATAAGTCTGTCTAGATTCCTAGAGAGATCCGCAACCTTCGCACCAGGCAGGCAAGTGACCATACAGTTCTCCCGGTCATCACAAACCCAACTATCTATGTTTCTAACGATCAAATCACCCACTACTAACACTTGCCTCTTCCTAACAAATGGCGTTCCCTCCCCCTCAGTGCGAGAGGATACCGCAACAGCCTCTGGAAGGAGGGTCCCAACTACGGGATGGTTTCCCTCTGTTACCATTGAATGCTCTGTTCTCTTGAGACGTTCATCCTCTGTAAGAGCACTGGGGCTCTCAGACTGGAGGTGGGACAGTACTACAGTGTCCCGGAAAGTCTCATCAACATATCTCTCTGCCTCCCTTAGCTCCTCCAGTTCAGCCACTCTGGTCTCCAAAGCCCGAACTCGGTCTCTGAGGGTCAGGAGCTCCTTGCAATGGGTGCACACATATGTCACCCACCCACAGGGCAGGTAATCATACATGTTACACTCGATGCAATAAACAGGATAGCCCCCACTCTGCTGCTGGGCTTCTGTCTCCATTTTTCTTATAACTTTAAATATAAACTGAGCTTCTTTTTAAATGTCTAGAATATAGATAAAGTTATGTTTAAAGAAGGTCAGAAGTCACTGGTGTCCTCTAACTTCCCTCTCCAAACGCCCTGTTAGCTGCTCCTGTTCGCAAGCTCCCTGGTCACTGACTCACAGGCTTATGAAGCTCTGGTAGCCCCTCCACCTGACTGAGGCTCAGCCAATTAACAGAGGCTTCTAGATTTCAAACCTTTTAGAAGCTCCTTCAAACAAACAAACAAACCAAATAGACAAACACAAGCTCAGCACACACACAAACACACACTACAGACAGCCACTTACCACAAGGGTCCCGTATTTACTCCTCTTTTACCTGGAGAATTCCCTCTCCAAACTCCCTGTTAGCTGCTCCTGTTCGCAGGCCCTTAAAACTCACACCCAGCACATGCTTAGCTTTACAACAATTCCTCTGATAACCTTTCCATGCAAATACAGTTCTTTACTTTGAGGAAAAATAAGAACTCTTGTAGTTGAGTTGATCACTTGAAATGATACAGTGCCTGTGCACGCTAGCATAAAGCAAATAATATTATTTGTCACCTGTCATACATTATTTTTATGAATAGACATTCAAGCTTTGGAGAATGCTTATGAGTTGATATCAGACAAAGGAAATCTGCATTTTATTCATCAGAGAGCTTTAGCTCTGATACATATATATATATATCTTTTGTGCAGAACAAGCATCCCATGTAACTATATTATCTAAATTGGCTATTTATCTGTAATAAATAAAAAGAACAGTCTAAAATTATACTGGATTGACTTCTGACCCAAAATAATCTATAGCCGAGACACAATGTGAATGGAGAGAAATATTCAGTAAGATGTTGTCTAGGTGTGCAATGGAGAATGTATCCTACACACTCGGAAATGTTATTCTGAAAGGAAAATTAATATAGTTTCCTGAGAGCCAGATTTAATTGAGGAGGAAGCCCAGCTGGACTAGGGTTTGAAAGAGGGCTACAAACATAGGAACTTGGCCAATAAAAATTTTGCTGTATTAATTTTTTTTATTTGACCTCATATTAAATATTTAAAGCCATGCACCTTGTTAATTATCCTTTGTTATAGTATTCTCTATTACATAACATTAAAAAAATATAAGTAAGATATTTGTTACGTGGGTGACATGGTGGCAGACCTCAATATTGGTGCACAAGAACATATTCATTCCAGAAATGAATGGATGGAAAATCTTAGAGGGACCATTGCTCTCCACCCTAAGCCCAGACCCTGCACCCCTTACCCCTGCACTTATACCCCCCCAAGGAGACCCTACCCCCCCAGCCTGCTCTGCCCTCCTTGGCCAGACATCCTGCCCCCCACACTGCTACTGCACATCACCTCCCACACAGATCCTACACTTCTACCCTATCGCACTCACGAGCAGCTCTATCCCACACACTGAACACCCTCATTTTTGTCCCTCCAGACACTGGGGCCCCACAAAATCCACTAATCGCTGAACCCCAGCAGAATTCATCTGGCCTGAGGCCTTGAACCTCTGTTCATCCTGCCCTTCCCTCACCTCCCCCCCATTGGGCTGGAGTGCCAGGAAGTGAGGTGTCTCAGTTTGGGGTCAGTAAGTGAGGGTTGTTTCTTTTTGGAGGGTTGGTTTTTGTTTTGGGGTTTTTTGCTACTCATTTGTGTGGTCCTCAACTGATTCCAAAAAAGGTTCCCCACCATTGGCATAAATAAAGACATTGTTGAAACCTTTTGTGTTGGAAATAATATTTTAGATTAGCAATTTTCATTTTAAATAAATTTGAGAAAGTTCAAGTGCCTAGTCTCTTTAATAATTTCAATTATTATGTCCTTTCTTACTGGTTAAACTAAATGGAAAAATCATTTTTAGGATCAGATTGTTAAACATGTTAAAATATGTTGCTTTTTTGTCTGATACAGAGGCAGCAGTGCTTAGTGGTAGGGGGCTCCTCCGAAGTGGGGCCAGAGCATACTGGCTGCCAGCCTCACACCCAGGGACTATAGAATAGTCAACTAACCAATAAGAATTCGTGAGGTTACTTGACTATTCAATTAACTGATATTTAACATCCCTAGTTTTGTCATGATTATAGCGACATCATTCACATTTGGGGGTAGATTTTTTTACTTTCCTGATTGACATTGATGACAGGACCAGCCTTAGATGTAGTTAAAGACAGATATTCACTGCTGTTTCATGTAAAACAAAAGGAAAATGAGTATCAAATTCTAAACAAGAAGCTGAATCCTATGAACAGGATCTTGTTCACACTCTGCACAATATTGTAAAAATATGCAATTTACAAAACACCCTTTGAGAGCTATCATCTGGAAACGAACAACCTTCTGGGTAATAATATCACCATGAAATGTAAGTTGCAACATATGTAGTTATAAAATCTCCCTGTATTATATTTGCACTTGTTCAAAGCCACACAGCCCTGATTAGGCAAAAAAAAATCTTCAAGATGTTTCTCTTAAAGTGTATTTACCTGAACATAAACATAAGTAGCAAGCAGGCTCCTTGAGATACCAAGAGGGGGAAATGGCAGGATGCAAGGTAAATCTGCACTTCAGCAACACGGGTGAGAAGAGCAGACTCCCACCTTCACTCCCAGACTCCATGTGACTTTACTGTTTGAATAAACTGTAATCCCCAAAAAACTCCACTTCAGAAGGTGACTGGACTGCTCTTCCTGTCATGCTTTCATCTAAGACAGACAACTCAGCCTTTGATTCTGAGGGGAAATCCTGACCAGAGGAATGGCCATCTGTATAGCTGGGAATCTGAGGGAAGGATTTTATCTTTAACTAAGTCTAGCTTAAATTTTAACTACTAGAAATCATTGTGTTTCTCTTGTAACTATTTCTTACTCTAATGCCTTATATCTGTCCTCACTTAAAACCTCTTTAAAAAACAAGCTAATCGTGTGCTGCATTTAAACTGAAATGTTTGGTAACTGCACCAGAGTAGCAAATGGCTGATTTTTGACTGCTTGCGGGTGAAAAGAAGCTCTAAGTATTTGACTGTCCAAGAGGGCTGGACAAAGCAGAACACACATTTTGGGGAAAATGTGAGAATGTATTGGGGTCACCCTGAAAATAGTAACCAAGGCTGCTGGAAGTCAGAGTGTGGCTGGACTTGCTGACAGACTGCTGGCATCAGAGTTGCCAGAATATGCCTGAACTATATGAAGACACTCAATGGGACCTGCTTGCTGGCAAGCTGTTTGTACGTGGCCCAGTTTGAGAGCTACAAGAGTAAAGCACTGCGAGGTACCCAAGTTTGCAGGGCAGGTAGCCACACAAGCATGAAATGCACTCCAGAATGTGACAGCACCATGCTACGTAAGATCTTCTGGGCTGAAAGTTCTCATTTTTAAATATGCAACTAAAAATCAAGTTTTTCTAGTTCACAAAACAAATGTGGCAGTAGCAGAAAGCACTCTGTATAAAAAAAGAACTTGTTTGATGCCTTGATAGTTAACATAGTTATTCTAAAAGTAAGCTTAAATGTAAAGTGTTCACATAAACCTCCATTATCTAGAGGCTTGGCAGTTCCCCAATCCCACTTTCTTCAAAGCACTGTCTCTTGAAATCAGGTTTAAGCCTATTTGTCTGAATAATCACTCATACACGCTCAAGTCATAACTGTAGTTAGTCCCTTTTTGTACAAAGTATCCCCAACAACTTTATATAAAGAGCCTCAAGTCATATTTGAAAAATGTTATATTACATTATGTATATATTTTCCATCAGAGGGAGAGAGACCATGTATTCATAAACAAGAAATAAACCTGCTAAAATATTTAGCAACACGGAGATCCTTGGATTTTCATTTATAACTGATGACCAGAAGCAAACATTTATTGCAGCTTGATCTATAACCACAGAGGAATTATAATAAAATAATGTATTGTTCCTCCCTTCCATGTCTCATTAGCATCCTCTCCCCATTTCAGTTATTCACTTTAACTTCAAGTCTCTGGTCTTGCTTTATTCACTCTTTTCTCTGTCTCTCCATTTAAATTATTTTCCAGTTTCCTTTTTATAAGCCCAATACAGCATCCTCCTTACCCTCATACCCACACTGACATGCTACATCTTCCTCCCATTAGCAGTTATCTTCCATTTCCCATATCTGTCCATAGCCTGTGACCTTCCAGCCAGCCTACTGTGCTTCTCCTAGATGTTTTATTGTGGGACACAAAATAGTGCAGCAAACCAAAGAGCATGCTTATGCCACTGTAATCCCAAGAGAATTGCTGGACCAACATCAGCATGTTGGTTCCTGCAGCTTTGCTGGACCCTTTTGCTCTATCTTGTAATGGCAGACTTTTAATCACTGTTGGCTTCATCAATGGTAATGCCAACTAGATCCACACCTAGATATCATTGCATCTTGTAAATACTACGAAAAACAGTAGTCTGCACTTAGTGTAACTACAAAGTTGTGGTCTTGTACTCTCCCGAGTGTAGAGTCCCACTAATACAATTATTATTTCCATTGTTCGCAATCAGGTTAACTACTGAACAAGTTCAAAAGAGGAGATGACTGTCAAACTGATTCATCAAACTTTTGAAAATGACTTTAAAGGCCTCCATGTTCTTTACAGTTTTTCTCTAAATTCCTTGTCTGAATTATAGCCAAAAAGTTATTTGAAAACAAGAGAAATTATAGGATTTTTCACTGCTGTGGTGGTTTTTGTTTTTTTCAAATTGTATCCAAAATGTCAATTTAAAACCCTACATAATTTGAAATGACCAAGTTATCCAAACATGCTTATAAATGTAGAATCTAATTTTATCTTTAACATCAGCAGTGGTGCGGCTGCCACTGGGGGAAGTGGAAGGATACCCAACACAGAACGTCAAGGAGGGGATGAGAGACTGGAAGTAGCCACCAGTCAGTTTCTCTCAGCTGTTAATGAACGAAAATGGTTAGGAGCACCATTAATAAGCTGTATTTGAAGCACTGTACAGTTCCACAGACAGAGCAGTTTTATAGTAAGCACTCCCCATGTCTTCAGCAAACCTTCCACATGTATGTCAGGATGAAGCTCAGCACACCTTTATGTTGCGGCACATGCAGCATCTGCTCTAGCATCTTTTCAACTTGCATGACTGATTTCTTCAAAGGCTGTTATTGAGGTGGGAAAGGAGAAAGAACAGGTGTATGGGTTTCTAGACTTCATACAGATTAACAATATGCCTAACATTTCACCTTAGAAATGTTCAAGTCAATTTATTAATAATGATGAAAGTCATCAGAAGAGTATTCTCCTGAAATTAAAAGAGTTTGGTTTTTTTTTCCTTCAAAAATGAAAACCAATACATGCTTGGTACAGCCACAGATGCTGTGGCTTTCCTGACTATCTTTTTCTCCCTACTGTGTCCGCACATACTAATAACATGGGCCAATTCAGCAAATTCCTTCTAGTCACTATCTAAAACAACAGGGTTGTAGTCAGGATCATCCTCTTCATCATCCAACTCCAAATCATCCATTTCCTGGAACAAGGATTCATCCACCTCCACGCTATTTCCAACTGAAAGGAAAAAAAAAAAAACCAGTGTTTTACTATGGATTTTAAGGTTTCATTTTTCTGTCATTCTTCAGACAAAAAAGAAAGATGCATTGCTTTGCTACTTCTCTATTGGCTAACTCAGTGGTTTTCATCCTGAGTCTATGGATGTGTAGGGGTCTGTGGACCAGTCTAAGATTTCCAAAGGGGTACACATTTCCATTTTAAATTTTTTAGGGGTTCTGCAAATAAATAAAGGTTGAAAACCACTGAGCTAGGTGAAAAACCTTAGAGCCCTTCACTCTACCATGGAGAAAAATTCTCCAGCTCATTAAAGTTGGACTAGCAACATGGAATAACTAATGAACTTAACTGTTTGGCTCGTACATATTGACTTGAACAGAATGAGGGAAGTTAGAGGAATGCCCTCCCCAGCCCCATTTCTTAACTACAATGAAGTGTTTCCTATCCCAGTGCTCAAGAGAGTAGATTGTGACAGGCGAAATACCCAGAGCCCATTGGTGAAGTGAGGTTACCACTACTAGTTCCAAGAGATGGCAATAATTCTACACTATTCAATGGACTCAGCATAATTCCAAAATAAGTGTATCAATTCCTGGAAGCTGCCAAGTCTCTATGGCCACAAACTTGCAAACATAAATGTGTGTAACAACAAACAAACAAAACAAACAAACTCAATGGCACTGTGTGTATTAGGGATGTAACAGGTGCAGTTTATTAACCAATTAACTGATAAGCAAAAGCTTACAGGTTAATGCTACAGACTACACATTTCCCTGCCTCTTTCCACCCCCAGCCAGGAATTTTTTTAGCAGGCTGGCCAGCAGTGGGCTTAGTCCTGGCTTGTGCTGGTTCTGGGACCTACCCCTGCTGTGGTTCTGCATTTAAAATGTATTAGGAGCCAAGGGGGCAGGCAGCCTGGCTCAGCCAAGGAAGCTCAGCCCTCCCTCAACCCCAACAGGGGCTGCTACCACCCCTTGCTGCTGCCTCTATCAGATGCAGCAGCACAGGGCAACAGGCAGCCAGTCTGCAAGGGGAGCTGGTTTTTAAATTGGGTCCCCTTGCAGACCAGCTCCTGTCTGGCACCCCGCACTGCTGCCTCTGATACAGAGCGCAATGGCTGACAATCCCACCCCCGGGGACTACAGAATAGTCGACTAACCGATAAGATTTCAAGAGGTTACTTGACTATTCAATTAACCGATAATTTACATCCCTTGTATGTATATGAAGTTTCTCACTCAAGTGCAAAATATGAGCCTTTAGGAAACAGTAACTCAAATACTCATAAAACATGTTAAGGACACACATTGCTTTCAAAACAGCAACAACTATAAAGTTATTCAAGAATATTTGACCTATAGCAGTTTAGAACAGGAATGGGCAATAATTTTATAGGGGAGGAGCCACTTAATGAATTTTGGTACATGGTCACAGGCCAGCTCCACCCTGGAAGGGTTAGGGCCTGAGGTGGAAGAAGCAAGGCTAGGGACTAGCCTCCCCCCAGAGTTGTCTGGGCCAGAGGCATTGAATTAAAAATATAGCAAAGGGTTCACGGCTCCCGGCTCTGCTACTACCTCATTACCTGGCAGCTGCCTGGGGTTGCCGTGGCTATTTTAAAAGGCTCAAGGCTCTGGCCTTTCAACCTAAAGAGTCCAGAAAGCTAAGAAGTAGCTGAATTCTATTCCTTCTTGTTCATCATTGGCTACATGAGAAAATTACAATGGTTAAACTCTTCGCTTCAGGAGGCGGAGGCAGGTTAAAGATTTTGTCTTTAACTAAGACTGGCTAGAATCAGGACGCTGCAGTGTCCCAGACTTGGCGGGGACTGCAGCTGGGGCCATGTACCCCTCCCTGCCTGGTGGCTGAAGTAGGGGCCACATGTTCCCCTTGCAGTTTCCCAGAACCATGTACCATCCCCTACTTCCCCATACTGCTGAGGCTAGGACTTAACAGGGACTGCATACTCCTATCCCTTAGCTGCAGCCAGCTTCAAAGTAGGGGCTGGGATTCCATTCCTCTACCCAGCATGGTCCACCCCATTATTTTCAGTAAAGTCTTGAACAAGTCACAGACTCTGTGAAATGTTATTTATTGCCTGTGACTTATCCATGACTTTTACTAAAATAACTGACAAAATCTTAGCCTTATCCATTACTAAGCTACACAATCTGATATGAAGTTTAGTCAGATCACTAACCAAGTATTTCAACAGTGGAAATATGGAAGAAATCAACAACAGAAGTTTACCTTCCTCTAAGAACTGAATATCAGACGTGTCAAGATTATGATCTGTTTCAAATAGTTGTTTTCCTAAAAGGAATAATAAATATTAAAATTAGTAATGGCTTGGAACGTAGTTACTAAAACCATGCAACATAAACATCCGCAAGAGTACTTTAGAATTTTAAATAAATCAAAGTAATATTTGGTAATGTATATATCCTTGGCATTTTGCTCATACTGTATTTGGACTAGCTACTTCTTTGCCTATCTTTAAAGCACTCTGGGCAGGTGTTGTACATCTCTCTGTAAGACCTTCCTTTACAGGTGAACTAGATCCTGCAAAAGGGCTCCATGCAAGAATTAATGCAGCCTCAAATGAAATCACACTGGCTGCTGGAGGAGAGAAGGAAAACACTTTACTCTCCTCTCTAGTCTCACCTGCACTTTAGAGGATGCATACACTGCTACCAGTGTGTCAAGAAGGAAGAAGATGGTGCTATGGATCACTTATATCTATGCATTACAAGTCAGATCCACAGGTAAATCATCCTTTCCATTCACTGACTTGAGCCAACCATGCACCTTTGTTGCATTCAATATGTATTTGATTCCCCTTCCTACCATGAGTCCACATAAAGTGAAGTGGAACCGTTTATAAAGGAAATTAATCTTTCAATACCCACATTACCCATCTTTAGAAACTAATAGAAATTCATTTTATACTGATTTTACAAACTACTCAACGTCTGTATAACAGGTCTAATGTTCATATTAAATTACTTAAGACTATATTTGTATTGCTTCTACCTCTGCTGCTCAATCAGATTTAGCAAAATCATTTAACTAATATACATATATCCTCACAAGTTTCATGAGGAGGAGCTCTGACTCAAAAGCTTGTCTCCCTCACCAAGACTTGATGTTCCTCAAGTAAAAGATATTACCTCACCCATCTTGTCTCTCAAACATCCTGGGACTGACATGGCTACAATTACACTACATGATACTCTGCCATGACAGGGGTAAAATTCAAGAGGTCCTTATTTGGTCAAACTTTTATCCAAGTCAATACCTCAAGATCTGAAACCACATGCCTGATATCAATCTATGCTTCGTGAGCATAACCCTGGTCTTCTTCCTGAGGCCAGACAGAAAGCCTATACATGAACTTCACCCTATGCCATGGAGCCGAGATGTGCAGCACTGCCCTGATTTTAAACCTGGAGGGGATACTTTCAGTGGGCCCGCACTATGATTCTAAAAAAAGAAGATATGGATTTATGTAATTCCATTGGATGGATGGGGTCAAAGACAGACCATAATTGCTACTGCAGCAACAACCAAGTTGTGCAGTTGTCTGGGGAGGAGGGAGAAGTGTCTCAGGGAGATTTCTTCCTCCATAGACAGTGTCTGCAGGAAAATCATGTTTTGCCCAACTGATAGCAACGTTTCTTCCTCTTATGGCATATGGGCAGACTAAACTGAATTATAGGGACAATAAGAATATTGCAACATCACTAAACTCTGCTTCTGAACCTCTCAAAGGACAAGAGATTGTGTCTTCTTTATACTGCTTACCTGTCATATGCATTAACACATATATCACCTATTTTGCTGTAACACACCAAAAATAATAGAAACACCTATGTTCAGCTGAATAAGTAAATATGAAGCTGGCAATCTACATGCTCCAGTGCATCACTCTTCACTTTCTTCCCCATTCCAATTTTCTTTACCATTCCCTGATGCTGTGAATGGGTTGCATAGGACTAATGGCAACAGTTAGGACTCTTGCTTGCTCCAACATAAATGCTCAAGATGCCATTCTAAAGAACAACAACGAGACTCCAAGGCTCAGCTTAGAAGATAAATCTTACCAGTTAACAATCAGACTGATGCGCTTCTGACCAATCTTTTAGTATTAAAAAAAAAATCTTGGACACGGTTTTGTTATTTGACACACTGGTCTGATATATTGGAAAACTCTGGGAAATTGTGAAGTCATACCACTTAATTTATTTTTGCCTGCTTGCTCATCTTCTTTCATCTTTTTTCTTTTAATTTCTAGGAGCTCTGCATCAAACTTTGTTTTCCAGCTCAGGAAATTCTCAATTGTAACAGGAGTCCCATGGAAACATAGCTACAATAATAATAAAAAAGGTAATAGTTTAGCAGCGAAGTAAAGAGTGAATATTAATATTTCCTTTATGGTTAAAACAATTGAATACCAAGAAGCAGTAACTATTAAGCACCAATTTTAACTATACTTCTTATAGAAAATTAACCCTCCCAATAAGTCAAAGCGAAAAGTGTGACATTAATTGCTTTTCATGTGTGGCTTGCAAATTTATTGACAGACAACTACTGCAGAAAATCCATGATTTGAATGTATTATCAATAAGATAACACAACATGTCCACCAGTGAGTAGTGTAGGCTATTAATAGTTTAGGCCAGTCACAAGGAATAAGGGGAATGTACATGAGTGCTAAGGATGGACTGGACAGAAATGCTTTGTATAGGAATATTTGCTATAAACATTCTTAAAACGACAGAACAAGTTAATATTAACTATCTAACACAGATGGCGAAAAAATATGAGACCAGTAGGGACCCCTCCTCTATCATGCATGGAGAGGAGAATAATTGTTCCTTCCACCTCTGCCCTCGTGACAACTACAGAGTCACCCTGCTGTGCAATCACATTCCTCCCTACTAACAAATGCACCCCTGCCTTCCACTGAAAATGAAAGTGACACAAAGGAGGCACTAAATGGGCACTCCCTCTTTTCAGGGAAGAATATTTGGCTAGAGGAATGATGTTTTGTGTGTCCACTCTCTGTGCTGTTTGGGAGTTCAGAGGGAATGTAGTGGCCAGAGGACACGCCCCCAACCTTTTTATACATGCAGTAATTACTAAAATGTTTCAACCTGGAAGATGCAATATTTATGATTTATGAAATCAATGAAGTTGTGCTTAATGTGCAGCTACTTCTGAAGTTTTAAACAATGCCTCTGGCCTAGCTATACATGTTTAGGATAATACTGCTGGTTAGCCCAATCCTACACCACCACCACCAGCTTTAGGAAAGAAAACCAGAAAATTATTAGTTGAAAATGGAATACTTCACCCACCTTTTCGGCCTCCTCTGCTTCTTTTTCCTTCTGTTTCTTTTCCTCCTCTCGTCTTGTTTTTATTTGATCCACTATTTCGTTTAATTTCTCTTGGACAGCTGACACTAGAGTGAAGATCATTACCATCCCCATGTTCTCTTCTGCCTGCAACATAAAAGGTAGCAGTCTCAGACAGGCAACTCACTAGGAGGCAAACTCACTGTGGACAGAGGGGTTACACCTTATGTCTGTTTGGAAAGTGTTCGTGCTTGGTCCTATAGCAATTACTGAATTGCTTTGCACCAGTTGTGGAAATTTCCTCAAATGTATTTCACTGGATTTAAGACAGTTAAAATGATCCAGGTGAGAGAGGAAGGAAAAGCAGCAAAATATCAGCACTGATCTCTCAGGTTACTACCTACATAGAAGGTTACCAACAGTGTCTGCTTATGTCCTCTTTAATTAAAGACACAATATTTCAAGAGCGAAGAAAAGTATTTTCCTATGGTAGGACCATCATTCTGATAAAGGTGCCCCTCAGTCATTTATTCCAAATGGTTTCCTCCTCAGTGAGGTATCCCATACATGTGTGGAAAGGAAACTGGAGAAACACTTCTGTGCCAGAGGCAGCTCTCCCTCCACTGAAAAAGCCAGCACTCTGACAGGAAGGGAATAGAGGTGTGCTACTAACTGACCATTCCTCCTGCCCCCAAACATTTGTACATTAAAGCAGGTGGGGATGGAACTTCCTCATCATGAAATCCTGGATCCACTCTGGGTATGTCCACACTGCAGTTGACAGAGAACCTTCTAGCCTAGCAGACTGGCTCATGCTACTGAAGCCTGACTCAGCACACTAAAGACTTCATTTTCTTATGATACATCTATACTAGAAACATAAGTCAATCTACATTATATTGATCTACACCTACTGCAGTAATTATTGTGGTGGTGCATGTCCACACTGCTCTCCTTGGGTCAGTGGTATGCATCTTCATCAGAGGTACTATAACCAATGTAAAAGGGGAAGTGCAGGGAGCTAACAAACCTGTCTCTTAATTTTGCCCCAGAGGTTTCTGGCAGATTTCCCCCCTCCCTACCCTGGGAACAGGATCCAGATGACCCAGTTTCTCATCCTCTTTTACTATCCAGAGCCAAGCATCCTTGTCAATATCATGGCTCAAGCAGCTGTGATATTGACAAAACTGCCCAGCCCCTACCTGGGCATGACCCAGGCTTCTCACTCCAGCTCCCAGCCAGTAGGAGGCTTCTGCTGCCCAAGCTTCTCACTCTTGCTCCCAGCCACTTAGCTCTCCAGGGAAATGGAGAGCAGCTGGGCTTTAGCTGCCCAGCTTCATCGAGTTCACAACTCTTGCTGTGAAACTGACAAGACAGCCTGTGAGAGTAAGGCGGTGCATACAGAGGCATTACATCACCCTAACTACACTGACATCAGCTTCTGGTGGGAAAGGAGTTATTATGTTGGTTTAACTATGGTATTTATATCATCAGGATCAAAGGTGTAGTGCAGACACTAACATTAACTTAAGCAGCTTTACGTCAACCTGCATAGTGAAGACCAGGCCACAGACTAAACAAGTCAAGCTCTTTTACTCTGCTAAGTCAGGTCCGCCATTCCTCTGATTATCATAGTTGCTCTTCTTTGTACCTTGTTTAACATGGTCATTTCTAAATCTAGATGATGCATCTTTATGTCGCTGACCTGTTGTTCTTACATGGTATTTATTAAAAAATTCCACTAAATGTTTTGTTTTAACTATATACTACCCAATATTTTACAAATGTCAAAAAGCAAAGTCTTAGTGTTTGGAAAATTAATCTCATTAATGTTCCCTACAGCAGAATGCACAGACTCACTCACAAGATATATGTTCTTCTAAGTTTTGGTTAACAACTGGAATTCACATCTCAAACCAATAATTTACGAAACAACATCAACAAGAATATATATTCCTACTTACCTGTTGTGCTAGAAGGTTTAATATGTCTGTCACATCATTATCTTCAAGGTTCTCCTGGGAGAATAATTCATAAAGGGGAGTTTCATCTGGATATTTTTCTCCATAGGTAAATTTAAGGGTTGCCTGGACAGCTACAATATAAAAGGTAATTTTAGTATGACAGCCTCAAACTTCATAAATATTAACTCTTAATTCTTAAGTTAAAATTGTTACACTGATATAGTTTTGTTAATAAAAACAATATTTTAATGGATCACCTAATACACATGCTGTAATTATAAATTTGCCTGAATTAGGGCTGTTGATTAATTGTAGTTAACTCACGTAATTAACTCAAAAATTAATCACACTATTAAACAGAATACCAAGTAAAATGTATTAAATATTTTGGATGTTTTTCTAAATTTTCAAATATACTGAATTATATTTTTATATTGAATTATATATTTCAATTATAAACACATAATACAAAGAGTACAGTGCTCACTTTACATTTTATATTGAGAGCCCTAGTTTGAATATACAAAATTGTAACTCACCGTTAACACTCTAAACAAAATAACCTTTTATACAGGGGATAGTTCTTATCACTTACTAGCAACGTTCCCTCTATTTGTTTTCAATTCGTGTGCACAATAAATTTTGGTGTGCACTGAGGCATGTGGGGATGTGTACCATCAGAAGAAACACATGCTGCTGGCTGTGGGCAGTGTGAGCACTCTGCTAATCAGCTGGGGGGCAGTTAAATCTCTCCTGGGTAGCCACTCAAGTGCTCATCCCACAGGGAACAATGCTTACTAACTATTCATATCTTCAATGCACATTAGAAACAGTAAACAGTCTATGCAATATTCCTCTGACCTACAGCAAATAAGAAAGCAATATCCCCTTTTAAAGAATAAAGTAAGGCAGAGAGATTAAGTGATCTGCCCAGGGCTATGAAGTGGATCAGCAGCAAATCTAAGATTAGAATTCAAGAGTTCCTTGCTTCCACTACTGTGCCAGTCCAGTAGATGACATCACCAAGAGTATTTCTTGCTCCAAACCATTATATAGCCTATTTGTTCCACAATATTAGGTATGTAAATACCCTAAATCAGCATTAATATACTCACCAGAAACTGAGTACTGAGCAGCTAGTTCGTGATATGAGGACATAATGAACTGCCATTATGACTAAGAGCTTCCTGCAGTTGTGAATTGCTATATACTTCAAAATCTACACTCTACATAGACTATGTGTTTTACTGATTGAGGAGCTGTTTTTACTGACTTTAACAGAAGCAGGAGGATACTCAGCACACAAATACATTTCTGTTACCGCATTTTAAATATAATAAGGAATTGTTTTGAGTCTATGTCACAATCTACTGATCAGAACATATTAATAGTAGATTAAGAGTTCAAGTAACAGATTTAGGGGGGAAAAAAATCATAGTAAATTGTTCTGAAACACCAGCTAGAGCTGTAGCCTTACACTGGATATTCACAGCCCATTCCCAATAGGACAACCAGATTTCCCACAGCAGGTTATTTCACATTGTATCAACTAGCGATAACTCCAAGGACACAGGCACTTGGGAGAATATTTTAAAATAATCAGGGTTTGTAATTTCGCAAGAAAAGTTTTCCCCATGGGATGTTTAGAACTCATGACCAACTTACTTTCATCATTTTCTCCTGCTTCAGATGTCACAGTGATAGTGAAACTTGTTGGGTTTTCTGATAATACTGTAACAATACAAAAAGTAAAGAAATAGTAAATTCAATAAAAGATTCTTAATGTCTGACACCTTTTCTTTGCTAGCATATTGTTGCTACCTGGCCACAGGAGTACTCTATTACAGGCCATGTTCTGGATCTGCACTGGAAAGGTTGAATGTATTTCATCTGATTATTCAGAAGTATAAGCAAGTGAAACATTTTTCACCCCAAAGTCTTAAAATCCGTCCTTAGTTTTGTTGCTGTTGCAAATTACAATACACGTTTTTGTAGGTTTGAAGAAGCCTTACCAATGAGAGCTGGCTCAGTTTAAATGGCATATTACAGTTTTAAAATAGGACTCTGTTACAATCAATGATTTCATATCCTGGGTCACTGGTAATAAATTCAGATTCTTTTAACATACTAAAACAACATCAACATGGATTTTAGAAGGCTGCAGTAAGCAGCAGGACAATTAACCAAGAATCTGAAAAAGAAAGAACTGCAGCTCTTTCCCAGTTTGATAAACTACAGAATAAGAACCTGGATTTACCACTACTTCCTTTACCGCAAAGGTCTTTACAGAGCAATAAGAAAAATGGATTATTGGGGGGCAGAGGAAGGGAGAGGGCAGACTAAATGATCACAATGCCCCATTTTGGCCTTGGACCCTATGAAAATGGCCAGGCATTAGCAAGGCAACAAGCAGGGAGAAAAACTGAGCAGCTGTTCCTCGGCAATGCCACAAGCCCCGACGAGGATCAGAAACTGTTGCACTGAGAAAAGAAAACTGAGCCGGGCACCACGTTGACTCTTGGTCTTACACCTCCGCCGAGGCGTCGGCAATGGGGCTGCCCCCGCAGGAGCGCACCACAGGGCTGGCTCTGCGCCCGGGAGCTGCGGGGACGGGGGTGCCGCGGCCTAATCGCGCCCAGCGGGGCCAGGGAGAGGAGCAAGCGCCGGGCAGGGACGCGCGCAGGGCTGGGAGCAGCCAGACCAAGCGGCCGGCCCGGGCGGC